CACTTTCTTTTTTTGCGCAAAAAGAACTTAGTTTTAGGCTTTTGGAACAGTGATGTGATCAAATTCTCCTACTGAACATTGATGTGAACTTTTGGATAAATATATATTCTCAAATTACTTATGTCCACATGACTTGCAACATTACATTTTTCCCCGAGATTATATTGGCAGCTTGAGTAAGCACCGTGAAAATATGCAAGCCAGCGCAAGTGGGAATACATTCATGTAGATTTTGCCATTCCCAGTTGTTTTTTCCGTGTTTCCAAGAGAACTGAACAACATATGGGGGTTATGCTTATAGAAAATAAAACCAAGGAATGATTCCAAGACTTTGTTTCACGCCTTTGGATCAAAATGTGACCTTTACGTTCCCATAATAGGTTTTAGTATTAGATTATCTGAGATTTGGGAGGCCTTTAGGTGAGAAACGGGTTCCATGGGACAACTCTGGACATGTCTCAATAGAAGATAAAGACATCATTAAATCCATTTTACGAAGCTATGAAAAACCCCTCTTCAGATCATGGTTTTTCCTTACAAATAGAATGCCGAATTTCCTCTTTAGATGATGGTTTTCCTTTGGTTGGTGCTGAAAGATAGCATGATAACTCACTACCTAGTTCCCGCCAAAAAAAACTTACTATACCTAGTCGGAAGAATGCTTGTTTTGCTGAGCTAATAAATCAACAGAGCATCACTTTTTCCCACCTATTACCGACTACCTAGATTTGTCAATTTTGAATAGTTAACTGTACATTTTGAGATGTATTATGGCATGAGAGGTGCAGGGCACTCATTCAAAGTGTTGTGTGAAACAAAAAATGATGGTGGTGACTTGCTTGCTTCCAGCAGAAGTGGACCCATTCCAGTGAAATCTTGGGCTCTGTGTAACTTGTACAGGAATAGGATGGAGTTCACGAAGAGTTAAGTGGAATCTGTCATAATGAACTTCATTTCGCTCGTGTGCCGAACCTCTAAAGAGTTCACGTAGCTAGCTAGTCGTTGTGTGTAGTGTGTCGTGATCTGATATGGTTAGGCTCTGCTCTTATTCGTCTGGCATGTTAATTGTACTACATTTACAACCTTGTACTTGCTAACATGTGCCACGGAGGCAGCCATACTGTTAGTGTAAACTGAGAAGACTGGGATGCTTTATATATAAACAATATGGTAATCTCGATTCTGCATTCCATTTGCTGTTAAGAAACAGTTTAATTCATGGAAATAAACCTCTTTATGCATAGGTTTTTTCTCTCTTTGTTCTGCAAGTTTTGTGTGCTGTCTATTATACACAACGGAGAACATATCGGGTGAACCCAGCACCAACGTTGAAAACACATGCTATGGGTTCTTGAAAATTCTGAAAATAATTAACTACATAGGCATAGCACGTTCACATAATTTCAGTTACAAATTCAACACACATCTTAAGAAACAAAGATAACAAATTCAACAATTGTAGTGTTAGCTGGCCCAATTCATAGCCAAATATGAATTAGCTACTATTCATAACATGATCTTTCATTTTTATTTCTTAACCCGTGACTTCGTATTGTAAAACTAGAATTTTTGTGACGTGACAGATGTTTATTTTTCCAATCTTCTAATTTCAGTTTTTTCTTAAAAATTATCATATTTTTTTATTACAGGGTGCACCGGTTACACAGGAATTTTGGCTGCAAAGGATACACCTTGTAGTTCAGAATGTATATTAGAAGCTGGCCTTTTTCTTACTGAGGAACCAATTCATTGTGTTGTAGTATGAAAAAAAAACATATGTATGCCCAATTAGCAATATGCAAGTCCCCTCAAAATTGATTGTGGGTCAGTCAATTTTTTGGCTGTTGATTTCTGCTTTGAGATTCAAGCTCCTTTTTTCCTGGTTTGTTATATGAGTTGTTTTAGACTGCCCTTTTAGTGACCATAGATTTGGGTAAGTCAAATCTTAACTGGCAGAAGCCCATTACCTATGTGACCCAACCCTCTCCCTTTGTTTTTTTCTGTTTTAATTTTCTGTTTTTGCTTTTTTCATCATTAGTCGGTTTTTCTTCTTCTTTTGGTGGTGTTTTGGCTGTTGGGTGAGTGTAAATGTATACACATACTATAAATATATGCTAAAATTTCACTATTATACGATTACTCCCCTTATATGATTACTCTTTGCATACTACAAAAGGTGCAATTTTAGTGCAAAATTGTGTGCAAGTTTTTGTTTTTATTTATTTTTCATTTTATTTCTTCTTAAAAGGTAATAGCAGTGCCGCTTTCATTGTTCCTTATAAAATAACATTATTTGATTTGGTTTTAATTGTTATTTTTTAGAGTGAATTCCATTTTTTACCTTGTAGTTGTACATTTGTGACACATATTACCCTATTTAGTGGAACTTTTATCGAAATGTCAGATTTTGGAGACTTTTAACACGGTTTTACCCTAGTTTTACATTTTGTTTATTTATGGTCGATAGGATCGGCATGTTGCGTCATTGATTCGTAAAAAAAAACTGTAAGGATCGGAGGGCATCATTGGCGATCTTGTCCAAGCTTCTCTTGTCTATCTGTTCCACTCCTTGTGGCCGTCCACATGTTTTTGGATACAGGGCGTCACCTCACACCTTACCTGATGGACACGCATCAAAAAACGAGGGTCCAAAGATTTTAAAAGGGGTATTCTAGACGAATTTTCACTCGAAGGGGTAATTAGTGTCACAAATGTATAAATATGGGGTAAAAAGTGGAATTCACTCTATTTTTTATTTAAGGGTAACATCAATACACTAATTGATTCCTTCTTAGGAAACTTTTTCTTGTGAAAATTTCACTATTATATGCTTATTCTTGCACTTTAAAAATGCATAAACTTTTTATTAGTGTGTGCAAATTTATTTATTTTGACTATTTACTGTGGAGCAAAAGCCCCACGGTCATTTATTCCAAACTCAAACAAACCAGGGTACAAAAAGTTACAAAAGGAACTATGTACAAGCTTACCTACACTAACTATATATGGCTAAGGAAGGCTATCAATCCAAGCTAATAATTTTGGCCTGATACAATCCTTAACTCTATGAGCAAGAAGAGAGATGTCATGAATAAACATACATCTCCAGGAACTAAAAGAAGGCCTAGTCAGCCGAAAGTCTTTCCATTTCTGACTAACCAAATACACCATCCGCAATGAACAAGACCTCAAAGAATGTGTGCAAATGTTGACATTATTTGTTTTATGTTTTATCTTTTCTTCTTAAAGGGTAATACCAATATGTCAGGAATTCATTCTTCCTTGGAAAACCTCATTATTTTTATTTTATTTTTTCTTAAAGGGTAATACTAATGCCACAAATTCATTTTTTTCTTATAAAACTTCATCATTTTCATTTTGTTTTAGTTTTTATTTTTATTTTTATATATATTTTTTAATGGTAATACCAATGCCATGAATTCATTTCTTTGAGGAAACATTTTTTTTGCAAAAAAATCACTACTATATGCTTATTCTTGCATATATTACAAAAAAGGTGCAATGCATGTGTGAATTGTGTGTACTTTTTGACATTATTTTGTTTTAATATCTCCCAATTTATTTCTTCTTATAAGGTAATATCAATGCCACTAATCCATTCATTCTTAGAAAACTTCGTTAATTTGTAGGCATATAGTTTTCAAACGGAAGGAACACAACTAAATTACAGCGCCACCTAAACCCGACGTATGAGATATGTTAAGTAGTAGTTTTCTAAAGGGGAACACACGAACAATTGTTCTCAGGGTTAGATGTTCTCACAAAAACAAAGATGTTCCTGCATGGATCCTAAGAATAATTTCATCGATGTTCTTTCATGTAACGGAGAAACTGTTGCGTTTTATTCCAGCAATATTTTCCCACATCCAAGCGATCTTACAGGTAGACAGTACCGATCCTACCATCCTGCTCTGTGTTGTGCAGGTCAGGTGTACAAGAATGCATGCCCTTCATCCACTATGAATCTATCGACGGTGAGAACAGCCAGGCCACCGACGCAGGCGATCTTATTTGGTATGGTTGTCGCCGGTAGAGGCCAACGGTCAGCAGGGCCATGCAATAAGGAGCGGGCGACATCGACCCGACACGTACGCATGTGTGCTCATTGTACAGTTCAAGTGCATGCATGCAAGGTTGGCGCTGGTCCAGGCCAACCGACGAGGTGAGTCACTAGAAGGAACACAACTAAATTCACTACCACTCAAATTAGCTGGTTCTTAGAAGGAAAAAAGTGACTTATCCAAATTCTAAATTCGGTCACCTTACCCCTAGTCAAAGGTCGAGTGGATACTATATGAAAAAATGATTTGCCGAAAAAGTGGATTCCAAATCTCCATTGAAGTAGGACTTGACCAAGATTGAAGTCGTACTTGACTAAGATAGTACATTTTGTTGGCGCCGTCTCTCCTCACAGCGCCCCTTCTTCTTCTCCCTCTCGGTTGCCTCTCACGACACACACACACATGACAATGGAGACACAAGATATTTGGTGGCAGGCTGCCTCGCACAGCCCGACCACTTCTTCTCTACTTTTATTTCTCTTGGCTCAAAGAAACAACACAGTTTACATCTCTTATATAGGGTCACAGACGCACGCATCCTGCAGCCACACTTCTCCACTAAAAGCATGACCTTCATGCACTAACGCACTACCTACATGCATGCCCATGCCCAGCTCGTGCGTAGCATTCTCTCAACGGCCACACACGACCTGACCAGTGGCCAGCACGCCCACACAACTACTAGTTACATGCAGCTAACAAACTAATCAAATCACTTGGCTCTAATTAAGTGCTTAACCGGTCAGGCTTCAACTCTTACGCGCTTGCCGTATCACACGGTCGTGCTGCCTGTCGGCGCCAACGGCATCTCGCCGTGCTTGCCTTCTCGTACGGCGGCTTGACATCCAGCCTTCTTCGCACGTCTCCGCTGAAAGTTCGCCGGCCTCGCTAATTTCTAGACTAAACTACATGCAAAACTCAAACATGCAAATACATGGAATCAAGACTAAACCTAACATTGTCGCCCCTAATCTTGATTCTCCAATCGTCATGCACCTTCACCTTGCCGCTATCATCACAACACCAATCATCGTGCACCATCTTGTCGTGGTCGACGCCTTCGTGACATCGAGCACTAAGTCATCAACATCTTGCGAAATCGCACCGCAACATTTGTTGGCTTCACACCAACTCTCCACGATGACGATGGCATCGCACCATCGCCATCGGCATCGCACCGAACCGAGTGACGGCATCTCACCGCCATACATCTTCTTAGCGGCATCGCACCGCGTCTCCTTGTGACGGCATCGCACCGCCGTCTCCTCCTAGCGGCATCGCACCACCGTCTCCTCCTAACGGCATCGCACTGTAACCAACCACCAGCGGCATCTTTCCGCCGGCGGCCTCCACCTCGCGCCATCGCTCCCTACCTCACATGGAGTCTGTCGTGTCGCCATCACCGTCGCCCCCGTGGATCGACAAGGCTCTAATATCAATTGTTGGCGCCGCCTCTCCTCGCAGCGCCCCTTCTTATTCTCCCTCTCGGTTGCCTCTCACAACACACACACATGACAATGGAGACACAAGATATTTGGTGGCCGGCTGCCTCACACAGCCCGACCACTTCTTCTCTACTTTTATTTTTCTTGGCTCAAAGAAACAACACGGTTTACATCTCTTATATAGGGTCACAGACGCACGCATCCTGTGGCCACACTTCTCCACTAACAGCATGACCTCCATACACTAACGCACACCTACATTCATGCCCATGCCCAGCTCATGCGTAGCATTCTCTCAACGGCCACACACGACCTGACCAGTGGCCAGCACGCCCACACAACTAACTAGTTACATGCAGCTAACAAACTAACCAAATCATTTGGCTCTAACTAAGTGCTTAACCGGTCAGGCTTCAACTCTTACGCGCTTGCCGTATCACACGGCCGTGCTGCCTCTCGCGGCTTTGCAGCCTCTCGCCGCCAACGGCATCTCGCCGTGCTCGCCGTCTCGTACGGAGGCTTGGCATCTCGCCTTCTTCGCACGCCTCCACTGAAAGTCCGCCGGCCTTGCTAATCCCTAGACTAAACTACATGCAAAACTCAAACATGCAAATACATGGAATCAAGACTAAACCTAACACATTTTGGGCGATGATTTGTAGCTCTAAGGTGCTCCACCCATCAAAATCCTAGTAGGAAGCTATTATGCCCATATCAGCGCATTTGTTTTGACCAACTTATTAAACCAGAGAAGATACATTGGCAATACTATTGTCGAATACAAACTCATGAGGTCTAGTTCTAACTAATATACGGACTCTCCGCGAGGTGTAATTAAGTGTGCTGGTGTGAGTACTGGAAGAAAGCAGAAGTTGATGTGAGTATTGGAAGGCTTGTATAAGTACATGGTTTGAATCAGTTAATTTCATGTCATTGAATAAAGCAAGAGGCTCCATTTGATATGCATTAAAACAGGAGAACATTGAAGCCGCGTGTGACGGGCCATAAAACTATAGAACTTAGTTAATTGCATACACAATAGAGTAGTAACCGTAACATGTGCATTGATTACATTGCCCTCTCCCTAACGCTGACTGTACATTGCGTCTGCCACACAGTGCATATTCTTGGCTACAAACTTAATTAATTACATAAAGATATATCACAGGAACCTCTGGCTAATAGAGAAACTACATCTATGCTTGCTTGATCGATAGTTAGGTAATAATTAACCGCAACAGTGCAAAGAAGAGAAACACTAGAGCAACCGGAAAATATCTAATGCATTTAGGCCATTGTATGATTACATATGGTGGCAGGGGTCGAATAGCTTCTCTCCTGTACGTGTGCCCTGTGTGTGCAAGAAAGTACAACACTATATGGGTCATGTGTTAAATGGAAATAACTGATACATCTATTATACACAAAGCATATACAACATACGTTTGGAATCTCAAGAAAGATGCATGGTTAAGATGTGGGTGGGTGGAGCACCTAGGAGCTCCTATGCAAGCAACTTGGGAAAGGAAAGTATAGTACTATTTGATCTTTGGGGGACTTGTAACAATATCTAAAAAGTGTACTCCTCCTTCTCCTTTATGTAAGGTATATTAGTTTTTCAATAAAACTCCATGATGTGGTGTATTTCTTCTTCTCACTCCGATTTCCGTTTATTCCCCTCCACCATTCCATACTAGCCTATCACCCGCAAAAAATAAGGGCTGGATCACCTGATCGGTGGTTATGAGAAAGAACCATGCCAACACATGTACTTGTCTCCATGTCATGTTCCATGTGCATGGGTCATGCAAGTGAGCGGGAGATCACCAAGCATGCTCAAATTGCTGGTTGCGGCCCACCTAACTGATTTTATCCAGGTGCTAACCATCGAATTAGTGAAGGGTAATTTTATCCCAAACTCTCCTTAATTATTTGTGGTGGTCACTTAAAATTAAACATTACATAAAGGAGTAGAGGGAGTATTTCCTATTATCAATGGTAAAACAAATTATATCATACAATAGATCTTAAGATGGAGCTCAAGATTCGAAAGAAGATTGTCAAGCCCAAACTGGAACTTAAGCTTCAAGTGAAGAACCTCAAACCCCATGTCAACCCTGGGTCCGAAGTGTCAACATTCACATCTTAGTTGATAACTGTTGGAAATATGACCTAAAGGCAATAATAAAATATTATTGTGTTATTCCATGTTTATAATTAAGTTTATATTTACACAATGTAATTCCAAAAGTCCTTGAATGAGAGATTCAGAGTTAAACTCAGTTGCATGTGTGGAAACATAAACACCATATAGATCCCTAGCCTCTCCTCTAAAACTAGCTCATGTATTCCAAATTATATTGTTCTCTTGAACATGGGCATTGTTAAAGTGACAAGGATGACAAAAATAATGAGAAAACATTGTTGGTAGAACAATGGTGTTTGATAGACCCAATACTTATGATACACTGCGAGATCACTTTGTCATTTCATTTTCGTTATTATAGATAAAGTGTTAATGCTACTTACATCCTTAGACAGCGAGAATACCGTAGAACCTTCATACCAGATAGTTATTGTAGGGATGTGAAACATTTCCCATAATAGGGAGATCATAAAAGGTATCTTACGAGTACACTGGAAAGTATGTCAAAGTTCTCTATGATCCAATACTGAGATTTGCTCCTCCAATGATTGAGAGACACTCTCCAGGACCACTCGGTATTATGTTATCCATTATCGTCTAGCTAGGCACATTGATAGTGATCACAGGAATACTGGAATACGGAAAAAGAAAAGGGAACAAAACCGATAACTAGGATAACAAGTATAGTGGTCAAAGTTTGATCATGGAAATACTGTCTCGCCTCTGGTTTTGTAAAAATGTCATGAAACAAAGGGAAGTTGATATGTCTCCAACGTATCTATAATTTTTTATTGTTCCATGCTATTATATTATCTGTTTTGGATGTTTATGGGCTTTATTATACACTTTTATATTATTTTTGGGACTAACCTATTAACCTAGAGCCTAGTGCCAGTTTCTGTTTTTTCCTTGTTTGAGAGTATCGCAGAAAAGGAAAATCAAACGGAGTCCAATTGACCTGAAACTTCACAGAACTTATTTTTGGAACGGAAGCAATCCAGGAGACTTGGAGTAGACGTCGGGGAAGCTTCGAGGTGGCCACGAGGCAGGGAGGCACGCCTGCCCGCCCCCCACCCTCATGGGCCCCTCGTGGCTCCCCTGACCGACTTCTTTCTCCTATATATATATATCCATATACCCTAGAAATATCGGAGAAGAGAATAGATCGAGAGTTCCGCCGCCAGAAGCCTTCGTAGCCACCGAAAACCAATCTAGACCCGTTCTGGCACCCTGCCGGAGGGGGGAATCCCTCTTCGGTGGCCCTCTTCATCATCCCGGTGCTCTCCATGACGAGGAGGGAGTAGTTCTTCCTCGGGGCTGAGGGTATGTACCAGTAGCTATGTGTTTGATCTCTCTCTCTCTCTCTCTCTCTCTCTCTCTCTCTCTCGTGTTCTTGAGGTGGTACGATCTTGATGTATCGCGAGCTTTGCTATTATAGTTGGATCTTATGATGTTTCTCCCCCTCTACTCTCTTGTAATGGATTGATTTTTCCCTTTGAAGTTATCTTATCATATTGAGTCTTTAAGGATTTGAGAACACTTGATGTATGTCTTGCACGTGCTTATCTGTGGTGACAATGGGATATCATGTGATCCACTTGATGTATGTTTTGGTGATCAACTTGCGAGTTCCGTGACCTCGTGAACTTATGCATAGGGATTGGCACACGTTTTCGTCTTGACTCTCCGGTAGAAACTTTGGGGCACTCTTTGAAGTTATTTGTGTTGGTTGAATAGATGAATCTGAGATTGTGTGATGCATATCGTATAATCATACCCACAGATACTTGAGGTGACATTGGATTATCTAGGTGACATTAGGGTTTTGGTTGATTTGTGTCTTAAGGTATTATTCTAGTGCGAACTCTAGGATAGATTGAACGGAAAGAATAGCTTCATGTTATTTCACTACGGACACTTGAATAGATCGTTCAGAAAGAATAACTTTGAGGTGGTTTCGTACCCTACCATAATCTCTTCGTTTGTTCTCCGCTATTAGTGACTTTGGAGTGACTCTTTGTTGCATTTTGAGGGATAGTTATATGATCCAATTATGTTATTATTGTTGAGAAAACTTGCACTAGTGAAAGTATGAACCCTATGCCTTGTTTCAACGCATTGCAATACCGTTTGTGCTCACTTTTATCATTAGTTACCTTGCTGTTTTTATATTTTCAGATTACAAATACTCATATCTATCATCCATATTGCACTTGTATCACCATCTCTTCGCCGAACTAGTGCACCTATATAATTTACCATTGTATTGGGTGTGTTGGGGACACAAGAGACTCTTTGTTATTTGGTTGCAGGGTTGCTTGAGAAGGACCATCTTCATCCTACGCCTCCCACGGATTGATAAACCTTAGGTCATCCACTTGAGGGAAATTTGCTACTGTCCTACAAACCTCTGCACTTGGAGGCCCAACAACGTCTACAAGAAGAAGGTTGTGTAGTAGACATCAAGCTCTTTTCTGGCGCCGTTGCCGGGGAGGTGAGTGCTTGAAGGTATATCTTTAGATCTTGCGATCAAATCTTTTTGTTTCTTGTCTTATCACTAGTTTAGTTATAAAAGAAAAGTACAAAAAAATGGAATTGAGTTTGCCTCATACGCTTCATCTTTTTAATATCTTTCATGAGGACGATGGAAAGGAAAATTATGCTCAAGTGCTAGAAGAAGAAGTCTATAAAATGTTTGGCACTAAATCTTTGAATGATGAGCATGATTGCAATGTTATTAG